GCCTGCTGGTCGCCGTGCGGGACGGGGGCCAGCCGCCCCTCTCAGCCACCGCCACGCTGCTCCTGGTCTTCGCTGACAGCCTACAAGAAGCGCTGCCGGACCTCAGCGACCACCCCACGCCCTCTGACCCCCAGGCTGAGCTGCAGTTTTATCTGGTGGTGGCTTTGGCCTTGATCTCCGTGCTCTTCCTCCTCGCGGTGATTCTAGCCATTGCTCTTCGCCTGCGAAGCTCTTACAACCCCGCCACTGGGGGCTGCTTTGGGTCTGTTCTCTGCTCCAAGTCTGGACCGGAGATTCCCCCCAACTACAGTGAGGGAACTTTGCCTTATGCCTATAATCTGTGTGTGCCTGGGGATCAAACCAACCCGGAATTAAATTTTCTCACATCTACCGATCATTGTCCAGCTAAACCAGATACTCTCAGCAAAGATAGCTCGTTAGCGCTATTGGCTGGCATTCTAACTCCTAATGTTGAAGCAAATAAGAAGACTTTTACACAGGTAAGTAGTTAAAATAATGCTTTTTATATTCCAATATGCCAGTATATATCAATATAGTGCTTTTATTTCAAGATCCGATGTTCAATCTCTTGCTAGAGTTTCTAAAATAAATCCTTGGTCAGACCTATGAGTATCACTGTTAAGACTCAAGTTTACAATGCTGCGATCCTTCTAATATTCAAATGCATTTTAAGCTAGGTATACAGAGAAATCTCATGAAATTTTCATGAAATAGAATACCCTTTAATTAAGGATATGGAATACAGATATATTTTATATAATGGTATTTTAAATAACCTTAATGCCATCCAAATCTTCTCAAATGTTTCATCTTTATTTTTCTCAATAAAGAACCATTACTGAGAATTATCGCCATGCATCCTATCTGATGATTTTGTCAGGACCGTGCTAGTTCCACATCAACAAATGCTATTCTCTTCAGTTGGTAAAAATTAATAGGGACCAAATCTAACCTGCAAGTTATCAGTTCCAGTAATATTTGAAAACTTTTTTAAAATTTTAAACAATTAAAAATTGTTAACATTATAATTGTTAAAATTTTTAAAAATTAAAAATTAATCTCTCCATAAGTGCTCTTGGTTAGCTCGTAAATCACATCATATAGCTGTTGTCTGAAATTTGAGCTTTACATATGCAGCAGGAATGATTCTGAAAAAGGTGAGTGTATTTATTATTGAACAGGCACATTTGTTGGGTTTTCTTACTCGTTGCAATAATAAGTTTGGGCTCTAGGCGCCGCTGTTCACCAACCAGGGAATGGGAAGTTGCAAGCTACAGAGTCACTCCCTCCCCTACCTCTATAACACAAAGCGGAGGGAGATGGATACTCACGGATCCTGATGCTGGAACTTAAAGTACGGACTTTCCTTCGCTCTCTGATATATCTGGGTGCAGTCGGCCCGGGACTTTGTAGATAGATAGGCTGTCAGGACAAACCGGCTCAAGAAACCTCGGAATACCGGCTCAGCCACTGCCATGGCGAATCAGCTATTACGCCTGGACCGCAGCGGGCTGGTGTTACTGTACATTTTCCTGGGGACGCTGCGGGAGTTTGGGGCCGGGCAGATCCGATACTCGGTGCCAGAGGAGACAGACAAAGGCTTCTTCGTGGGCAATATTTCCAAGGACCTGGGACTGGAGCCCTGGGAGCTGGCGGAGCGCCGCGTCCGCATCGTCTCCAGAGGTAGGACGCAGCTTTTCGCTCTGCATCCGCGAAGTGGCAGCTTGGTCACCGCAGGTAGGATAGATCGGGAGGAGCTCTGTGAGACGGCGTCCTCCTGTTTTTTAAATATGGAGATACTTGTGGAAGATACCCTGAAGATTTACGGAGTGGAAGTGGAGATAATGGATATTAATGATAACGCCCCCAGTTTCCGGGAGGAGGAAGTAGAGATAAGAGTCAGTGAGCACGCAACCCCGGGATTGCGATTTCCCCTTCCTAACGCCAGGGATCCAGATGTAGGAATGAACTCCCTTCAGCGCTACCAGCTCAACCCTAATAGCTACTTTTCCTTACAAGTTGGAGGCATTACTGATGGAGCCAAGAATCCAGAGCTAGTGCTGGAGGGAACCCTGGACCGGGAGAAAGAGGCTGCCCACCACCTCCTCCTCACAGCCCTAGATGGAGGAGACCCCATCCGCCAGGGCACTGTTCCCATTCGTGTGGTGGTCCTCGATGTCAATGACCACACCCCAAAGTTTACACAGTCTGTGTATCGAGTGAGTGTTCCCGAGAACCTCAGCTCTGGATCTCGGGTGCTGGTGGTAAACGCAACTGATCTAGATGAGGGAGTCAACGGGGAAGTGGTGTATTCGTTCCGGGACATGGAAAGCAAAGCTTCTGAAATATTCCGGTTGGATTCTCGAACTGGAGAAGTCTCAATACAGGGGCCTCTGGATTTTGAGAAATACAGGTTCTATGAGATGGAGATTCAAGGCCAAGATGGTGGAGGTCTCTGGACCACTGCTAAGATGTTGATCACAGTTGTGGATGTGAACGATAATGCTCCAGAAATAACGATCACATCTTCTACTGACTCAGTGCTGGAAAACTCTCCTCCAGGTACAGTAATTGCTCTTCTAAACGTGCAAGATCAAGACTCTGGGGAAAATGGTCAAGTTTCTTGTTTCATTCCTGACGATCTGCCTTTTAATTTAGAAAAGACTTATGGAAATTATTACAAGTTGGTAACAAACAGAGCGCTGGACAGAGAGCAGGTCCAGAGCTACAATATAACATTGACGACTACAGATCATGGAAGTCCACCCTTGTCTACAAAAACTCATATTTCATTGAATGTAGCAGATGACAACGATAACCCACCCACGTTTGCTCACTCCTCTTATTCCGCCTACATTCCTGAAAACAACCCCAGGGGAGCCTCCTTCTTCTCAGTGACTGCACTTGACTTGGACAGCAAAGAAAATGCCCGGGTCACTTACTCTCTGGTCCAGGACACCATCCAGGGAGCTCCCCTGTCCTCCTACATCTCTATCAACTCAGACACTGGCATCCTGTACGCGCTGTGCTCCTTCGATTATGAGCAGTTCCGAGACCTGCAGCTACAAGTGATGGCACAGGACAGTGGGGACCCTCCACTCAGCAGCAACGTGTCCCTGAGCATATTTGTGCTGGACCAGAACGACAATGTACCAGAGATCCTGTACCCTGCACTCCCCACTGATGGCTCCACTGGTGTGGAGCTGGCACCCCGCTCTGCAGTCGCTCAAGCAGAACCTGGTGGTGGCAGTTCAGGACCATGGTCAACCTCCTCTCTCTGCCACCGTGACACTCACTGTGGCTATAGCCAACAGTATCCCAGAGGTCCTGGCAGACCTGGGCAGTCTTGAGTCTCCCACCAACCCTGATGATTCAGGCCTCACCTTGTACCTGGTGGGCAAGGGCCCTGCTGGACAGAGACACGCTCAAGCAGAGCCTGGTAGTGGAGGTTCAAGACCATGGCCAGCCTCCTCTCTCTGCCACCGTGACACTCACTGTGGCTGTAGCCGACAGTATCCCAGAGGTCCTGGCAGACCTGGGAAGCCTTGAGTCTCCCACCAACCCTGATGATTCAGGCCTCACCTTGTACCTGGTGATGGCGGTGGCCGTGGTCTCCTGCGTCTTTCTTGCTTTTGTCATCGTGCTGCTGGCGCTCAGGCTGAGGCGCTGGCACACATCGCGCTTGCTCCAGGCTTCTGGAGGCGGGTTTGCAGGCGTGCCCGCTTCCCACTTTGTGGGTGTGGACGGGGTGCAGGCTTTCCTGCAGACCTATTCGCACGAGGTCTCTCTCACTGCAGACTCTGGGAAGAGTCACCTGATCTTCCCACAACCCAACTATGCGGACACGCTCATCAGCCAGGAGAGCTGTGGGAAAAGCGAGCCTCTCTTGATAGTTGAAGACTCAGTTACCGGTATAGGCAAAAGTAATCCTACAAGTAATCAGGTGAGATTTTTTTCCTGCCTTCCAATTATTAGTGTCTCTGCACACGTCTGTTCAGTGGCTCTTTTGGTAAGCCTATTATGAAAACTGCTGGGGGCGGGGGCATATTCAGTTCACACAGACATCGAGCAATACATGTGCGTTTGTGTATTTTACCTTTATTCAAACTACCATCATTTTTCAAAAAGGTTTTCTGAAAGTCATTTTTTTAGTTTGGTATATTTTCTTTTGAGTCCAAGGGTGCAGTGTTGCTATTATGGCTTGCTTTATAGTAAATTGAATTTTAGTGATATTTTTCTATCAGTGTCTGTGACTATCAATGTAAACTGGTTATAATTTGCAAACACTTTCTATTTATTTCCCTATTTCAACTTTGCATTGCCTCCATGATTATAATTATATTCTACCATTATTTGCTTTACTTCTAATGACCAGATTTGACCCTGTTGATTCAATAGCATATTGTCTCTAGCTCTTTTTCTTATCTATCTATATTCACAGTCACATATACGTCCACATTTACACGTGTAAACTTTGCTCTGAGCACAAAAAGAATTATATTTTCATTTTTGATGGCTGGTAATATGTTTAGATCCTGTTGATTATTTTAATTTTGTCTCATTAATTTATCCCGCCAAAACAGACATGTTGACTGCCTTTTAATTACTAGACTCCCTTGTGAGAGAAAATATAGAACGCACTTTTTTCCTTAAGTTCTAGACATCTTTCTATTTCCACAGTTAGTGCATTAGATAGTTCTGAAGAAATAATTGAATTGTTGAACTGGTGCTATTTCCTTTTATTCTTTTACTTGTACTTTAGTGTGTGTTGAAGGTTTTTTAAAGTGTAAAGACACAGAAATGCTTATTTTTGATCCAGTGCCCCTCAGAAATTTATTTTCAAATCTGTTAAATATGTTTACATTTTTCAGATTTATTCATATGGAATAGTTGTGAATATAAGAGATGGGGTGGGTATTCCTCTAGATATTTTTGTTTGTTTTCAACATGCCAGCAAGTCATGGACTCCCTCTTTATTTCCTTCATAAACTCCCTTTGTATTATATCTAAGTATACTCGGTTCTTATATTTATAACCAACTTGTTATTGAAGCCCTAGGACAGCGGTTCTCAACCTGTGGGTCGCGACACCTTTGGGGGTCGAACGACCCTTTCACAGGGGTCACCTAAGACCATCGGGAAACACACATCACTACAGCTCCTCATGCTCACACCACTACTTCTAGATATTCTGTCCAAATTGCTAGCATATTCATGTTCCCTTTCCAGTTTTCCTTTCTCCTTTAGGAGTTGGCCTTAGTAATTAACTCTACATAGAGTATCTAATGTTTGGGTGAAAAGAATTTCAACTGTAGGAAAGGAAAGTCTTACAACAAATGCCTAAATTTGTCTTGACGTCAAGAAAATGTTAGTGTGTTTTGAGCATCTAGGGATAGAATTATGCTTGTGGAATTCCAAACTGAGAAAAAAGATTTGACACATTTTACTTGAACTGAAATTAGATGAATAAAAAGGATATGAGGTATTTTGCTGGAAGAGGGAGATGTTCCCTATTTTTTAAAATGTAGTCTGGCCCTAGCCAGTGTGGCTCAGTTGGTTGGACGTCATCCTCTGCACCAAAATTTTGCAGATTCCATTCAGGTCTGGACACATGCCTGGGTTTCTGGCTCGATCCCCACTGGGGGCGTTGAGGAGGGAGCTAATTTATGTTTCTCTTTCACATTGATGTTTCTTTCTTTTCCTCTCCCTCTCTTTCTAAAATCAACAAAAACATTTTTTTTAATGTAGTCTGAACTAGTTAGGAGCTGGCAACCAAGATCCTAGAAAATAGAAAAGGGTGGCTTTGAAACTTGAGATTAAGAAGATTATTTTGACTCAAAGGTAGTAATAAAGTGCAACATATGGTCCATTTAAATAAAAGGACAAATAAAACAGCCTCACATTTTCATGACATTATGAAAATGGTAACCTACTCGGGTATTCTTTTATATTGTTTATGATGTAAGTGTAAAACACTTAATGATCCCTTTCACAAATCTCTTTTATAAGTAACAAGGAAGACTTGATGTCATTGGCCATCCTTATCCTGAGTACAACCTATATAGCTTTAAGCTCTCCTCCAGTTTCCTGATAAATGGAGGAGGGAAATTAATCTGTACATAAGATTGAATCTAATACTAGGTGTCATTTCATGGCTGCCAAAATTTCCCCATACCACTTGGTGGGGCTATTTTCTCACGTGGTCTTTGTTCTACGTCTGGAGAGAAGACTTTGCTTTGTTCTTCCAATATCTGCACTGCCTCTGATTTGAAAAAGACAAACTTTTCTCAATGGTGGGTTTCTGGCTCTTCTATTGGATCCCATCTCTAGGGAACTTTCTTTTGAAGTAAACACTGGAAAACAGACACATCCAAAACGCACTAATTGCCTCCTTTCCTAGACGTCAGTCCAACATAGCTGTTGGAATACCGAATCCCATTATTTGCAAGGCTTCTGCCTGCAGTTTTCTAAGCAGACTCTGGGCGCCGCTGTTGGCCAACTGCTGCAAGAGCTGGAGTCCAGGATCCACCGGGTGTTTTCTGCGCAGTCACAAAAGCAAGTAGAACGGCGAGGGGTCCGGACTCCGGCTCACTGCTCGGCAAATCTGATTCCGGAATACCGACTGGGCTGCCTTCAAACTGGGAGCCTTGAGTTTTCTACGCGGTGGAAGTAGATATTTAAACACAATTTGTAAAGAAAGCATCTTTTCAATGCCAGAGGCTGCAGCAGGGCTCGGAAGGATGGGCACCAGCGCGCAGCAGAGGAGCAGGACCCCGCGGCGGTGGCAAGTACTCTCTCTCTTCCTGCTGCCTTTGTTCTGCAGGGCGCTCTCCGAGCAGATCCGCTACTCTATTCCGGAAGAAATGGCCAGGGGCTCTGTAGTGGGGAATCTCGCTAAGGACCTGCGGCTGCCGGCACGGGATTTATTGACCCGCAACCTCAGAGTTAGTGCAGAGAAACAATACTTTGCCTTAAACACGGAGAATGGGAACTTACTTGTGAGTGACAGAATAGATCGGGAATCGCTCTGCCCTCAAAACCCTGTGTGTGTCGTGCCCTTAGAGATTGTAGCAGAGAACCCTCTAAATGTTTTTCACGTAAACGTGATGATAGAAGATATAAATGACAATCCACCCCATTTCCCCCAAAATAGCACTGTTTTACAAATCAATGAATTTGCATCTCCAGGAGCTCGGTTTGACTTGGAATCTGCTATAGACGCAGATGTAGGGCCCCACTCTCTCCAGAGTTACCAACTCAGCTATAATGAGCACTTTTCTCTAATGGTAAAGGATAAAGCTGAAGGCAAGAATGTCCCGGAATTGGTGTTAGAAAGGCCCCTGGACCGGGAACAACAGAGCTCCCATCTCCTGGTCCTGACAGCGGTGGATGGCGGTGACCCGGTCAGAACCGGCACCACTCAAATTAGGATTGAGGTTACTGACGCCAACGATAACGCCCCAGTGTTCAGTCAGGATGTGTACAGAGTTACCCTTCCAGAGAACTTGCCCCCGGGCACCTCTGTGCTAAAGGTGACAGCCACCGACCAGGATGAGGGCATCAATGCGGACATCACGTACTCCCTCAAAACACCAGGAGACGTTGGAAGTATGTTTACGCTAGACCATCAAAGTGGAGAAATTAAATCCAAAAACCCTATAGACTTCGAAATCAGTAGCAGTTATACCATAATCATGGAAGCCAAGGACGGCGGAGGCATGGCCACCAAATGTAAAATTATACTCGAAATTCTAGATGAGAATGACAACGCCCCAGAGGTGGTGTTCACTTCGGTGTCTAGTTCCATAACCGAGGATGCAGAGCCCGGGACGGTGATTGCTTTGTTCAAAACACACGATAAAGATTCCGGAGAAAACGGGAAGGTTATATGCCTCATAAAAGAGGACGTTCCTTTTAGAATTCAGTCTTCCGCCAATAATTACTACAAGCTGGTGACAGATGGGGCCCTGGATCGGGAACAGACCCCAGAATACAATGTTACCATCACAGCCATCGACAGAGGCAAGCCACCCCTCTCCTCCAGCAGAAGCGTCACCCTATACATCAGGGACGTCAACGACAACGCCCCGGTGTTCCAGCAGCCAGCCTACCTGGTCCACGTGCCAGAAAACAACCCGCCCGGGGCCTCCATCGCGCAGGTCAGCGCCTCCGACCCCGACCTGGGCCCCAACGGCCAGGTGTCCTACGCCATCGTGGCCAGCGACCTGGAGGCACGGGCGCTGTCGTCCTACGTGTCCGTGAGCGCGCACAGCGGGGTGGTGTTCGCGCAGCGCGCCTTCGACCACGAGCAGCTGCGCGCCTTTGAGCTGACGCTGCAGGCGCGCGACCAGGGCTCGCCCGCGCTCAGCGCCAACGTGAGCCTGC